TAAATTCGTCTTTCAAAAAGACTACAAAAGTAGAACTTAGCTCATGCCAATGGAGTCTTTAACAAGGTTTTCATAATCTGAATTTGATTTCACCTCACTCGAATTTTTTTCTTCAAATCTTGAAAAATTATTTTTATTCATACTCAAATGTAAATATAATAAATATTATTATTATTTTATTTTGTAATATGAATGAAAAGGGAATTTAATTTATGAGTCCAATTGGATAAAAAATAAGAAATTAAAATATAATTTATTTCTTAAATGTATATATATATATATATTAAAATTATTAGATTATTCTTACTATAATTATAATAGTATTTATATTTTTTATACTTTTGTATCATCTTTGAATGCATAACTAAAATTATATTTTTAAGATCGAAACTTTGATAGGATCTATGAGTAAACTTTTTACCATCCCACCAATAATCATTATTAATAAAATTTTATACAATACACTTTCTATATTATTCTTTATATGATTATAATGCCTTTATTAATTGTTGGCTTAAGGTCACTGTTGTCCCTGTAATAAACTCAATTTATCAATTTCGTCCCTATTGTTTTTTGCATCAATTTAGCCCTCGAAGTTGTTTAGAATGTTTATCCTAGCCCTCGAAATACGTTTTGACTAACAGTCCTTTAGTCTTCTGCTTTTATCAACACCAGTAATTTTCAAATCATCCAATATTACAAACGTATCTTGACGATGACGTGAAATATATTCAAATAAATAAATAAATAATAAAATATTTGAAATATTTACTAAATACAATTGTTAGAAAAAATCCTCAAAAATTTGATCTAATCTCACTAAAATAAATAATAATTTTTTGGAAATTTGTTCTACTAATTATGTTTAATAAAATATTTTAACCTAATCACTTAATCCATAGACACAAAAGCCTCACAGTTCTGTTAGTTAAAACGTCGACGAATTTCAAGGGCTAAGATAAATACCCTAAACAACTTCGAGGGCTAAATTAGTACAAAAAAACGATAGGGGTAAAATTGATAAATTGAGTTTACTACAGGGGCAACAATGACCCTTAAGCCTTATTTTTTTATAGAAGCCGACGGCTTTATTAAAAAAAATTCAGAATCACAATGAAAATTTACAATTATAATCATAATTTAAACGTATAATAAGGACATTTTCCTATAATCATTGACATAAAAACTATTCATTTAAGATCATACAACGACCATATAAAGAAAATGTTAAAATCCTAATAAAAAAAATTCAAACAAGAGATAGATATGAATAGATTTGATCGTACCGATAAACAAAGCATAAAAGGAGATTAAATTACTAAAATATCACCGAAAAATGTAAATTAGAATTGAGAGACATGAGAAAATTATTAACGGACACAAATAGTGTATTCAAATTCAATTTTAGAGTGCACAACAAGGAAGATCAACATGATAACAAACAAATGTTATCTTGATCAGTAGAGAAGGTGTTAAAACTAACTATGAAAAAAAAGATAAACAAAAAAAAAACCAAACGGTTGATGCTGAAGATATAAAACATAGCAAAAGGTAGAGAAAAACAGATCATAAAGACATAGTTATTAATAATTAAAAAATAAAAGAAAAAAGAAAAAAATATGATATAATAAAAAGAAAAGAAAAAAGAGAAATATCGACGGAGACGATCAACATCAAGATTAATACCATCACCCATCATTCAAAGATAAAAAAGTAAGGGTAAAGTATAGTAATAGTCACTGAACATTTCCAAAACTTGCATTTAGGTCCCTCAACTTTTAAAACTTGTAATACAGTCCCCAAACATTTAATTCGTTTGCAATATGGTCCCCGCACCTATGAATATTAGGGTAAATTATATAAATGGTCACTAAACTTTTCAGGCACTTAAATTTAGGTCCCCCAACTTTTAAAAATTACAAAACAATTCTCAATTTCATTCTAAACCACAAATTCCAAAGTAATTCAATTTCATTCTAAACCCTAAATTCCAAAATAATTCAATTACATTCTAAAACCCAAATTCTAAAATACTTCAATTTCTGTCTTTTTATAAACGACGCCAATGTCACTAAATTATTAATTAATTTACTTTTTATATTTAAAAACATATGATAATTTTTTATTATTAATTTAAAGACATGAAAATTTTTCAAAAGTAAGAATATATGATAATAATTCATTTATTTAAAAATAATATATTTCTGATTATTTGTGTATGTTTTTATATCTAATCATACGTGTTAATATATTTTATATCTTTCACATAAATATTAAGACTACATAAATAACAGAGTCAAAATTTTATATACGAGTTATGTTAATTATAGTAATGATGTATAAATATTTTTTTATTTTTATACTATTTCTATTATAATTAAAATATAAATATTACCATGATAATTAAATATTTATTTACTTATTACATCGAATATTTTTTGTAGAAAAATTATTTAATAAAATCATAAAAAAACACAATAAAAAAATAAACACTGAAGTTGACTACTTCAAAAATAAAATAAAAAAATCAATAATTTAATATAATATACCCTAAGTTGATGATAACAATCAACTCAAAAGAGATGGGGTTTGTGCCATGTTTTCGTAACATACGTAAACTTTCTATTTCATGGTCACGTATTCTTTTAGTTCTAGCATGATCTATTTTTTAATTTTCTAATATAGGTAAAAAAATGTTATTTTCTTTAAAAGTTTTAAATTCAAACAATTGTGTTTGTAGGGTATATCTATATTGTTAATAAATTAATTTTTTTGAATAAATACTATCTTATAATCACATCAAACTATTAAAAAAAATTAAATTATAATTGAAATAAATAAAAATTATAAGGATGTCAATTGGGGATTTTGATTCTTAATTTTTTTCATTGAGAGATTGTATTTTTTTTATTCAATTTCTTCCATAATCATTTTTTATATTTAAATTATTGAAGATCACTAAATTTACATTTACGAGGAGGGAGTGTATTTTTTTCTTCACAAAAGTAAAAAAATAAAAACGCTATCACGTTCTTAAAGATAATCTATTATATTTCTCCTTAAATTGAAGTATTTTAGAATTTAGGGTTTAGAATGTAATTGAATTATTTTGGAATTTAGGGTTTAGAATGAAATTGAATTACTTTGAAATTTGGGATTTATAATGAAATTGAGGAATGTTTTGTAAGTTTTAAAAGTTGGGGGACCTAAATTCAAGTGCCTAAAAAGTTCAATGACCATTTATATGATTTACCCTAATTTTCATAGGTGCGGGATCATATTGCAAACGGATTAAATGTTTGGGGACTGTATTGCAAGTTTTAAAAGTTGGGAGACCTAAATGCAAGCTTCAGAAATGTTCAGTGACCATTACTATACTTTACCCTAATATTTATTATTATACATTAAAGTATGGGTATGTTGATTTTTTATCGAATTAAATTAGTGTTGAATTTTGTGACACCAATTCAGTAAATAATTATTGATGAAATGATAAGATATTTATATATAAATGTTTTTGGTCTTGTTCACATATTTTAGTTATTTTATTTCATGATAAAAATTCCCCTACAGTAATATTCAGTATACTTTAAAGAGTATATTGATTTTTTTAATAAAATTGATGTCAAATTTTGTAACATTAGCTCAATCAATAATTTTTTTTTAATATAAACGATCACTTCATCAAGTAAAAAGAGCATCAGAAGATACTAGTGGTGAAATACAAGAAGGAACATTGGAATTGAAAAACAAAGGAACTGAAGTGAGGGACATAAAACGAGCTAATTCAAAAGCAACACCATTATATTCCCCGCGGACAAAACCCGAGGATGAGAGTCGAGTAAACGTCGAGCAGCAGCAAGAATAAAACCCCAAACTGAGTGATCCCAAGAATAAAACCCCAAACTGAGTGATCCCAAGAATGATTAGCCAAGAATAAAACCCTAAATATTATTTTAGAGGAATTTTTGTTTGTTCGCACTTTCATATTTTGTTAAATAAAACAATTAAAATCTACTCATTGGGATTTGAACCGGACACAAAGTCTTATATTCAAATATTTCATCACTCAAACGATAATTAATAAAAGTTTGTGACATTTTAATTCTTTTGCAGTTTTATATTTTCTCCATTTTTAATCTGGGTAAAGTATACAAATGATTTATTCACTATAAGATATTATTTTATTGAGTCTTACGATTATTAAAAGTTATAAAATGATCTATCAATTATAAAGAGTTACTTTCTTGACTCTCTTGACTATTAAAACTTACAAAATGATCACCTGATTATTCTTTATGTTTCAAACTTATCATTTTCAGTTAAAAAATTAACGATCTTTTGAACTGAACGTTAACATACTGACTGAGATATTATAGATATTTGAGATTACGAGATCATATTTTATCATTTCTCAATCAACGTGTTAACGTACAACTTAGACTGTCGTCAACTTTTGTAACGAAAAAATACGAGTTTAGAATATAATCAAGTGACAATTTTGTAACTTTTATTAGTCGAATGATTTAACAAAAAAACTCTCTATAATCATAAATCGTTTTGTAATTTTTAATAGTTTAGACTAAATAAAATAATATCTTATAATCGAAACTATTTATATACTTTACCTTTTAAATTTTTTACAGTGTTTTATTATGTCACATTATTTATAAATAGGAAAACTCCAAGGACAATTATGATAATAGAATAAAAATAGAAAGATTAAATTAATAAAAATAATAAAATGATCTAAAGTAAGGATTTCATCGAAATATAGTCACAAAATATATATTAATTTATTAATTAATTTTGAAGTTTACTTTCAAGTTTCAACTAACCTTGGACCAAGAGAGGTAAAGGACACGTAAGAGAGTTCAAACAAAAACGCCAAAAAATATTAAAACATAATTAATTAAATGGCATCCAAAAATGAAAAACAATTAAACCAATTTAATCGTTAGACTTAATTTCATTTCCGGGCAGCCCGAACTGAAAGTTCTTTCTACACAATGAGTTGATGAGTAGGCTGCCTGTGTTGCCCGATTATGAACTGGGAAAAATGACGGGCAGTCGTTCCACATCCCCAGTTCTCTCTCTTTCTCTTCCTCCCTTTTGCCACTGCTATATCTTTTCTTCCCTCTCCATTTCTCCTTGATCACAATCCGACGGTCCACAATGAACGCTTATCCTTTCGTTTGTTTCCTTTGCTTTTAGTGCTGCAAACCCTCGGATCTAATTTTGCTTAGCTCCAACGCTTATTCTTTTGCTCTCTTCCTTTGCTTTTAGCTATGCAAATCCTCAGATCTACTCTCTCAGCCATCTGATTTCCGTTCCTCAGTACGTTTCTTTCCTCTTGTCTTCTCTTTTCGAATTTCAGAAAGTTTTCGAATCTCTATAATCTTTAATTAATTTTAATTTGGCTGCTTTTTTTTCAAAAACAAAAAGCTTATTTTTACGAAAATCAACTTTCCACCGGCGAGTTTGGCTCGTAATTGAAGGTTCTTTGTTCTGTTTTTTCTTCTAAAGAAAGCTTCGTTTTTAGCATAATTCCCGCTATTTTTTATTTTTTTTCACCGTGAGAGGAATATTTATTTGTTTTAAAAATCCTACTAATATTTTGAAATTTCGTTATGTTTTTGCTAGGCCGTACTATATATATGTAGGAATAAAGTGATAGATCTAACGGCTGATGTAACTTCAGCTTAGATCTAAAGGTGGAGATTCTTTTTTTGTGCAGATTTATCTTTGGCCGTAGTGAAACAGAGAAGCTGACCTCAGTTCAATGGCAGTTACGGTTAGTCACGTCGTGCTAACATGCGCCGGTGAAACTCTAGCTACCATCCTCTTTTCGACTCTTGCCAAAACCTACCTTTTAGCTCTGGTAACTTGGCATAGATTTTATTTATTTATTTTCTACTATATATATTTATAATTCTCGTCTGCCGTTGTCAGAACCATGTCCTATAATTTTATGCTTTTTTTTTTCTCACTACGGGTTGCTTGGTTTTTTTTTCTTAGTACCATAGCTAAAATGAGCCGTTGTAGGGTTTCCATGTTTTGGAACCCCTCTTTCTCTTTACTAAATATATATTTTATGTTTTAAAAAACCTGTAGATATATTTTTGAACAAATATCAAATATATGTATATTTTTAAATATATATTTCTTGCTTTTTCTTGCTAAAAGTATCTGATTCCACCTTCACCACCACCACAGAAGAATTTGCTTTTACTAAGATGCGCCGTTGTTAGGGACCGAGATTTTATGGCGTCGGGATTTTGGAATCTCATTTTAATACGATATAACCCGATTTTATTTTTGATAAAAATTACCAGAATTGATTATTATCTTATACAGAAGCATATTTTAATTTTTGATATGGATCCTTTTATAAACGAAATTATTTTTTGATCTTTTATTTTGCTAACTTACGCTTTTATATGGGCAGATAGAGGAGAGCATTACCCGTAGTTGTTGGGGGTAGCTTAAGTTTTGTCGCATGTGAAACTTCAATTAAATTATTTCGGTTCACTTTTTTAGAATTTTTTTTTCTATTTTGATTCATAATACGTTAAATACTTTGTTTCACTAAAATTTATAAATTATATTTAAAATTACGTTTTTGAAATTTTCATAAATAATGAATATAAAACAATAAAAACGTTAACTTTAAAGAAAATATCTGACGCTATAGACTTTGTCGTTTGTCTTGTTTTCTAAAACACTAACAGTCAAATTTCTTTGTTATGGAACCGAATATTCCTTGGATACTATCCTTGTCAAATCATAGGTGCCACGTCACACTTTTTATTTAATATATATATATATATATCCTTTTTTTTACATTTGATTATTGAATTTTTTAAAGTACAATAAAAAAAATAGGAACAATAAGAAAGTTCTATTATTAATCATGTAATTTCTCCTAAAATATATAATTAAATGTATTTTTTTCAATTAATAAACCGATAGCATGTAAAAAGAGCTGAGTATGCATTTATAATCAAAGCACAGGTTTTAATTAATCTTCAACTGATAATTATTTTGTAACTGAGACCCTTAGCTATGCTTTTTTTACTATTTGTTTGATTGGTGAACATGTTTTTCATAGTTATAATTGCTAGTGTAGCTTCTGCTTTAAACCGTGCTGTGAAAACAAACTATTTCTTTTGGGATTGGTTTCAGAACTCCTTCACATTGATGTTGGCTAACAAACTCGGAATCGAGGACGACCAGTCTCAAAACCAGCCTAAGCCGAAGGAAACTGATGGGGAAGATGACGATGATAAAAATGACGACGACAATGGGGGCGATGAGTTTGGAGATGGTGAAGAGGAGCTGTCATCGGAAGGTGGGGAATACGGCAACAATGGTAACAGCAACAAGAACAACCCGAAGAAGGGACCGGAAGGTGGCGCAGGTGGGGCAGAACAGAATGGGGAAGATGAAGACAATGACAACGAAGAAGATGGTGAAGACCCAGAGGACGATGATGATGACAATGACAATGATGAAGATGACGACGATGATGGAGGTGAAGAGGATGAAGAGGATGTTGGAGTGGAAGACGAAGACGGGGAAGGGGGAGAGGAAGACGAAGACGAAGAAGAGGCTCTTCAGCCACCAAAGAAAAGGAAGAAATAAATTCTTAGTAGATAAGTTGAAGCCTCCATTTTAGGTAAACTTGTTCATCTAACATTATGGTATTTTATTTAGGCGTGAAGGAGGATGTTTAAGGTTAATGTTTTTATGCATATGTATCACTTTCGTTTCTTTGCATAATTAGAGTACTGTTGGAACTATTTGAGCAGCGGCAGAAGATTCACTTGAAAACAATTTGTATGATTTCAGCGGTTACTTTTCAGAAGAGTTAATAGATATGATAGTTTTGCTAACACGATTTTACAAATATCATCACTATATTATATCGTGCTTAAATAACTAGTTCGTGTAAACTCATCAAGTAGTTCAAATAGCTGTGTATAAAATATGTGTTGTCAACTACTAAAATAGATTATAAATAGATATTGTTTCATAATCACGAAAGCTATTCACATAAAAAGTTAAATACTAATTACTTCGACTTTTTCAATAATTCAAGCTCGACTGAACAATGATCCATCGGAACTTCTGACCGTAGACAACATGACATGTTGATCTGATTCATAGGGTTTCTTGCCTGTTGCTCCCGTTGGAGTAGAACCCTATTTGAAAAATCTTTTCGTATCTTTATTATCGAACACAAAAGCAGAAGAAACCGGCAAATCGGCATCGTCGGTGAGATTTTTGATCAACTCCAATGGCGGATCAAAGAAGTGATTCATGGCAGACTCTCCATCATCATCACCAACGTCGTGGTCAGGTATAAAGATTGACGAAGCCCAAGATCAGCATTCGAATTTTTCCAGGGAAACTGTTCTTGATATAAAATTATTCTCAATATCATGGTTTCTTTCATTCTTGGCCTCACTGGGTTCCCTTTACCGAAGGCCGGTAGGGAAAAGCAAAGGGCTCAACACATTTGAAGTCGATGCTCTTCCGGAAACCATCGTCTTTAAAGTCGGGATCGGAAATTAAACCGGCACGATTATGGTGCCAAAGATCAACGGATTCTTGACTTACGACTTTCGAGTTCTTCTTCCACAGAAGTTGACTCAGTAGAAGTTAAAAACTTGTGCTTTGTGGTTTTTTTTGGGGGGGGGGGGGGCAAAAGAGGCGGTTGAAGAAGAGGGTGAGGGCGGCATCAGGTGGAGGCGCGTGATCATGTTCAAACTTGTCTCTCCCATGGATGAGAAGATTGATTCCCCCAATGATATTGGATCAACGGATATTTGTTTTTCATTTTGCAGGCTCAGTCCTCGCATGCGATGACCATCTTAGTAGTGATTTGCATGTTGTATGACTTGACAAGCGTTAACTACCGGATTTGCGAACATGTTCGAAATACATATATTTCATATTTTTTTTCAAAGTTATTTTTTATGTATAGAGTATTATAATTCGAAATTCATATTTGAATTTATATTTAGCAATGATGGATTAGTTTCGGGATCAAATCTAAACTTGTAAACATTTTGAGAGATATAATGAGAACTTTTAAAAAAAATTGAGGATTTAATTAAATTTTTTGAAATTCTAGAAGATTTAATGAAGATCTTTTAACAATTTTAAGGTGCTAAATTAAAAATATTTAAAAATCAAAATTTTATAGTAAATTATAACAAATTTAAGGTTCTAATTAAAATTTATAAAATTTTTAGGGGTGTAATTCAAATTTCCCCAAACATTAATAGTACCTATGAAATGATGTGGTTCATAATTAGGGTAAAACTGCTGCTTGTGGGTAGGGTTTCATAAAGCATGCTATATTAATCGCGTCTATCTCATTTAATTAATAAAATATTTTTGGTTATTGATAGAATTGTCACATAAGATAAAAATATATGTAGTCAAATGTATTTTTAAAAGATATATTTAATTAATCACGTTTTTAAAGGACATGTTTGACAAAATATATTTATACTTGACAGTTCTAAACACAAATGTAGACTATTTCAATAGTTAATTAACTTTGAATTTTAGTTTAATAAATATTCATTTAAATAATTTTATTTACATAGCAAAAGCATCTTATGAACATAAATTCAAATCTATTTTGGAAATTGAAATACAAAATTTTAAGTCGAAAAGTATTAAGCTTTCCATATTAATACATATTTTCAAAATAAAAATCCAATTTAACCAACTATTTATAATTACACAATTATATATATATATATATAACTATTAAGTTTTGTATATGTCGCGGCCGTATTTCGGATGGTCTCAGAATTAGGCTTCGACTTGAATAAAATATGTTAGAGTCGCCACTGATCATTTAAAAATATTTAGGTTGATCGGACATCATCTTACCTAATTTGTGTTTTACCATAAATATGTCAGATTCGGGAGTCAGTTACAGTCAATGAAGGATTAACACCCTTGAACCGCCCTTTCGATACCCTTTTAATTTGTCGGTTGTCTTAATTGCGAAAATTAAAATTTAAAGACTCGATTCGAATTACTTACCTTTGATCGATTGAAATTACTTCTAAAAAGTTAAAAACTGTTGAATTATGTTTCGATATAACAAATTTAAGGCAAAATATTTTTGGACTTGAATTGAATTTATTCAAAGTTTTTAAAAATGTTTCAAAAATAATTCAAAGTCCGTTAAATTCGGATTTGAGCAAAAATGTTAAAGTGTACCGATACACCCTGCAGGGTGTATCGATGCAGTGTATCCATACACCTATGACTGCTCAAACATCGAATTGAATACACTGCATCGATACACCATGCAGTGTATCCATACACCTATGACTGTTCAAACATCGAATGCAATTAGTGTACCGATACACTCTCTAGTGTATCAATACACACTGGCTGCAACAACTAGTTTAATTTGAATTTAATGAAGGTGTACTGATACACTATGAATGTGTACCGATACCCCATGTTATGGGCAGCCTATTTTTGCAGGAAAATAATCCCCAAACGACTCCAAAACATCCCCAATGGCTAGATATGACTTCTAACACATTCCAAGATATAAATACAAGCTGAGGACACTTGAAAAAGCAGGAGAACACTTATCCAAGCAATCAAACACAAGAGAAGAGTTTTTCATTCTTATTTTTCATCTTTCTTGTAATTATTGTGTTCTTGTGAGCTTAAATCTTGTAAACACCCTACATTTGAGAGGTTTTCTTGTTTACTTATTTTATCTTTTTGTAAAAGGAAAGGTTCTAACTGAGCCCTTGAAAAGCTAGTGATAAGGTTCTAGTTTAGCCCGTGAAAAACTAGGGAGTTGTAAAGGTTATCTCTTTGTCCTGTAAAAAGAAAGAACAAATTAGTGAATTTGTTGGAAAATCCTTGGTGAGGAGCTAAGGTAGTGGATGTAGACTTGGTTGAGAAGTCAAACCACTATAAATCGATGTGCAAATTTTCTATCTTTCAATCTCCTTACTCCCTAAACACAAGAACCGTCCCGACCCATCTTGGCGAACTCTTTCGGTTGTCGATTCGAGCTTCCACAAATCCCAACAATTGGTATCAGAGCTTAACTCGTTAGAAGCTTAACATCCTTGAGACGATTCTAGAAGACGCTCTACCAATTCCCGATACAACCGAGAACATGGCTTCCACCTCCGGCTCATTCCACATGGAAAACTCCCAACTGATCGACAAGCCTCCATACTTAAATGGAGCAAACTACCGTCATTGGAAGAAATTAATGAAGTTATTCATACAATTCAATGATCTTGATGCATGGGAGATGATCGAGAACGGCTACTATTCTCCAAAGAAAAAGGAGAAGAAGTAGAGTGGCCAAGAATGGAAGAAAGCTCAACTTAATGCCAAGGCCATGCACATGTTTTGTGCATTTGGTCCATATATATATGAAGAAGTTTCTTCTTGTTCAAGTGCCAAGGAGCTTTGGAATAAGCTCGAAAAGCTTCATGGAAACAAGAAAGAAGAACCAACAAAGGTGGTGTCTCTAATGGCTCGTGAAGAGCTCGAGGTATCTTCTAGCTCAAATGAATTAAATTCATATTCTTTTTATGAGTTACAAGCTGCATACGATGAATTATTTTTGGATTTTGAGACCATGAACTCCAAATATAGGAAAATGATTTCAAAATTTAAAATTGAAAATGATTTTCTTTTGAAAGCAAAAATAGATTTTGAAAATCAAAATGAAATGTTGAAAAAGGATTTAGAGCTTTCATAAATGAAAATTGAAAGTTTTTGAAAAAGAAAATTTTGATTTAAAAGTTAAGCTTGAATGTTTAACAAAAGAAAAAGAAATCATTTTAAATAATTCATCTAGTTTAATAATGGCAAAATGCTCACATTGTCATTATCATGGTCACAAGGAACATACTTGTCATTTGAAGAAAGGAAAACATTTTAAAATTAGGCAAATATGGATTCCTAAGGGAACAAGGGGCATTGAAACTAACGTTCAAGGATCCAAAGCAATTTGGATACCAAAATCCAAATAAATGTCTCTTGTAGGTATGTGGGAGCAATGGTGATGAAAGTGATGATGCTTAAATGCTCTAGTCACACATTGAAAAGGAATGAGTAACCTCGAAGCTTAATGCTTTTGATTTTGGTTATTTGGTTGCTCATTTGGATTTTAATCATGCATGAGTTTTTGTTTTAAATGATTATGCATTATTGTTTTAATCTCATGTATGTTAAAAAGGTTTTATGATGAACATCTTAAAAGTTTTAATGATTTTTCAGAATTTTTAGTTCATCATAATAAAATTTTGGTCAAAATTGATTTTAATGCAAATGATATCTCTCTAACAATTGATATCAACTTTTCAAATACTTTGATTTTAAATGCAAATGATATATCTCTAACAATTGATATCTAAATTTTAAACTTTTTGACCTAAATTTAAATGCTTATGCATGTACTTAAAATTGTATAAGATATCTCTTTAACAATTGATATCAACATTTTTTTTAATGCATAACATTTTTGAAAAGCTTTATGCATATGCACTTAATTTCAACAATTGATATTGCATAAAGTATTTTAGACTTGGATACATTGAATTTCATGTGCTACTAACATGTTTATTATTCTTTGTTGAAATTCAACTTTGTTTAAGTGTCAAACTCTAAAAGCTTAATTTTGTTTGGAATACATTTATTGAGGGGGAACTTTGATTTTTCAAATGATTTTTAAATGTCAAATTTACTACTTACTCTCCAAAGTTATTTTGAACTTCAAATATTGAAT